CTGCTTTGGGGAAAAAGGCCATATATCCAATTTTATCTAATTGTATCCATCAAGATTATATCCAATTTTTAATGCATTCATTTATAAGTATATCAAAGCATATGTGGTCAGATATAGTCAGATAAAACGGTATAAACGTCTGACTATATCTGGAATTAATAAACATTGGGTTGAATCTGATCAAATTTTATCATATCTGACATTACTTGATACAATTAGATGAAATTGGAACTATGGCTTTTATTCCCCGGGTACCTGCAATGAAAATAAAAATGTCAAGTCTTCATTTGAATCGTAAAGTGTCGATAAAGCAAGCAATCCAGTAGAAAAAAAATAGTATCGCCGCTGGCTTTACTCCTGTCGGAAAAAAGAAACAAAATTCGGTAGTTTCTGGTAGTTTTCCTTCTACAATAATGAATAACTTAAGATATAAGAAGTAAAATTACAACCAGTTCTAGTTAAATAATATTATAATATTTGTTAAGTAACGAGTTACTTCCCAACCCTGCAAAAATTCAATAGTCGAATAGTCTTCGAATAAACGTGTTCAACATAAACGTTGGTGTCTACGGTAACTAATATATCTACCGAATGTGTGAATCGTCTTGAACGGCCGCAGAAACTCGCGATCGCAAACTTTGTCTTAAAAAAAAAAGCGCGTTAATTGCATCGATCCGTTGTGTGTTGGCCACTCTTAAAAATGCCAGGACGCGCGCCTCGTTTTGCATGTATTCTTCAGACGTCGTGCAGGACCGTCCCTTTGTAGGATACGCGAGCTTTAAACCTCCCGGCCATCTATTCTAGCCACGTACCATAACTCGCCGGGAACGCGTGTGGTCCCTCAGGGCGGACGCACGAAACGTTTCTTCCCCTTATGAAATTGTAACAGAGGCAGGATTAGCATGGAGCATTGTCTCCGCAGCGAGGGGTAGGTTCACGTTGTAGCGATGTTATCGAGATCGACCCGCCTCGACCCGTCTCAAATGTATCCAAATTTCCATTCTCACTTTCGCTCCCGAAAATACGCCGTTTTAAATGTACATCTTAAATCTCGAGAAATATAGCCTTTCCATTGTTTTCCTTCTCTCTCGCGGCTTATTCGAACGCAACTAAATTCGATTACCATCCAAATGGAAAATTTATGGAAAATTTATGGAAAACGAGAGAAAAATGGACTCCGGACAAATATTCTGTCATAATTTCAGTGAATTCGAAGCAAGACGTAAGATTAATCATTACAGTCTTGGAAAAATTCATCATAAATACTTATCATTTAGATTTTAGAACGTTTAATATATTCATCACGTTTACGAAATTAATATTTAGACAACTAGGTATTTGATACTTTTCGCCCTTACCGTCTCCCGCCTGACTTCGGTTCGTTTTAACATACTCGCTCAACTTACGTATACATAACTAATATTCTCTAGTCGTTCTGACCCCATTCGATATTGTATCTCCCTCGCAGCAGCCGCAAGCGAATCTTCTCGCTTCCAGCAGCCGGACGATCATCATGCATATATGTAAAATGCGAAATTGTATCATCCTACGCGCGGTATTCTTTCTTGCGTCTCCTTCACCTCGCGTCCACGTATCTCGCTTTCCAGTTTACCCCACGACAACGTTCCCCACAGACCGAAATGCTCCAGGGACTTAGCAGAGGGAGCGAAAGAAGGGCCGATTCCTGTGGCCCGCGTTAACGTTTTACGGCCGCACACCGCTACGAATAAAAATCGAAATTCCATGCCCGTTAATTCTCAATGGGATCGAACTCTGTGGCGATGGCAACACGCCGACCTCGCGATGCGATTTCATTGTAACTGAGCCGAACGGGCCGAGCAGCATTCGCATCGCGAAAATAACGGCATCAGACGGCGATAAAATTTGCCACAAAAAAAACAAATCTAGCAAAGTTCTCGGCTCGATACATTTCACGTTTTATAACGCGCACACGTTTTATTGTTTAACGCACATGAGATTGTATGACGTAATCGCGCAAATAAGTTTATCGCCTGCGCGTCTTGGTAGGGAAGACAGTCAGAATTATTGCGTCGTTGCTTCATCATTTTCTCCAACTTCGAGGCGCATGTGGATGCAACTTTGTCGCTATCGTTGACACATTTTCGCGCAAGGTGCCCGGCGGAAACCCAGCATGTGGAACGTAAGTTACGTTCGTGCAAACTCTATATCGCTCCGTGGTGAACGCTCTGGAGTAACTTGAGCAAAACGGCTCGTCCGTGCCGAATAACTCGCGCGTGTACATCAATTCGCTTCGTGTATCTATTTAATGATCACGAGCGACCCCAGTGAAATGCCCGGAGGCGAGGAATAACTATAACGCTGTGCTTCGACGTTTTCGCGTCTCCGGTTCCTATGTGTCCAGTGACCGCATTGTCATCCATGTTAAAATTAGTTTCAGCGCTACCACAATCGTCGCATCTGGCATGAAGACCGACGAGAAATGTCAGGACGTAGTCAATGCTCGTCCCCCCCCCCCCTCTCTCTCTTTCTCTCTCGACAGGTGGTGGATTCAACTATACAAATATAATTGAATTTTCAATTCCGTCGTTTTTCCCGCCACATCGGAGCATCGTTTCAGTTTTTTCACCACCTGTTAATCCGTTTGACAAATAATTTTTTCTTTCGAAATTTCTGTGTAAATGAGACGAGCACGATAGACACAGCAATCTCGTAAATTTTTTATAGAGTGACGTGTCGATGATCTTTGTATTGCCAATATCTTTTCTAAGAAAGCATATGCTTTTGCTGCCGTAAAGCGATACTAAAATTACCCAGAGCAAGTCTCGCTGAAATAAAATGTTCCGCTGGGCGTATACATTGGCCGGCCAAAGTGTTTTGTTATACCATTGAAGCATCCTTCACCTCTTTCGCGGGGAAAGTCTGAGGTGACCGCCTATTTTCTCTAACAGTAGAAACCGACACTGTAAAATCGCGATAACGCGCGGAAACTCCAGCGTTGCACGAAGTACCCGAAGATACGAACTTCTTGCCGGAAGCTGTAGGTCGGGAGCGCGGGATAGGTCGAGGCAGGTGGAGGAGTACGGCGATTTTCCAATTCAGCCGCGGGGCGTTCGTTGTCTCTCCGAAGGGAACAAATCGATGAACAACGTCCACGATCGGATTTCCCGGTTAGAGTCAACCGAATGAACGGAATCGTAGATAGCCACCGCCAGGTGGAAGCGACTCGTCGCATCTTGTCGCAAACGGGGAGGGTTAAAAAGCAATTTTCCCTCTCCGGCTGAGCGTCTGGCAGCTGACCACCGTTCCCCGGCGCAGAGGCATCGGAAGTAAAATCTCAACGTAGCAATTTTGATTCAATCTCCAACGACCAGGCGCGTCGCGTACTAAAACTCACTCGATAGCATTCGTGTACGTAAAAAAAAAAATATATATATACATATATATAGCCACGTTTTGAAAGTATAAGAACGACAAAATGGAAGTTGTCGGCTTAGAAGAAACGACAGGAAACAAAAGTATCCTGTAATTGTGTGCGTGTACGTGTGTAACAGTGCGCAATTAAGGGGTCATTCCACATTAACGGCCCAAAAACTATGCTTATCTTTAACAATTTGAATTGTTTGATTATATTGATTAAAATTGATTAACAAGAAATCAACAAAATTCTTAATCTATATGCGTGTCGCTATGTCCCGAACCTCAATTAAGAATTTATATTTAAAAACAACAAAATAGTGCCAAAAAAGTTTTAAAAAGTACTTTTCGAAACTTTTTCAAACTGGCACCATTTTGTTATTTTTAAATAAAAATTCTTAATTGAGGTTTGGGATATAGCGACACTCACATATAGATTAAGAATCTTTTTGATTTTTTGTTTCAGGTAAACCTGAATGATAAAAGTCATCAACGCAGCGGACTTGCGTCTTTTTTTAAAGGTGTAGAAATCGCTTAATTACAAAATTTGTTGAAATTATGACAAAAATTTTGTCGCGTTATTTAAGAGTGTCCTAATAAATCCCGAAAAGATTTATTTCATTGTATGGTGTGTTCACCGTGAAAAAAAATTGTTAAAGCCAAGCACAGTTTGTGGGGCCGTTAAAGTGGAATGACTCCTCAAAATGCACCTGTAATTATTCATTTCTCGTGCGATATGCATAATTCGTACGATACGCAAATATGCACTTTGCGAATACAGTATACGAGCTTTTAAACCGAGCCCCGCCGGGCAAGGGAGAGCGTGGAAAAATCATTGTACGATTCGTCCACAATGGGTCGCTTAGCCGGCAGATACGCGTCAGCTGTCCCGATGACGTCGGTGTCGTTTCGCTTGGCTATGCATGATTGACAGTTTTATGGGGACGAGCGGAGCCCACTTTCCGAGTTACGGCCGGGGTCTGGTTTTATCGCCCTCTCTCAAACGGGGACCAAACATTATGCGACATTTGACGCTAATCGATACGAGGACGAGGGGGGGCGGCGGGCTACTCGCGGTACGGCAAACTAAGTTCGTACTGAGATTTACTGGCAAATGAATTCTTTATGTGCGCTTCAAACAAAATGAATTTAGAGCTTATGGTAATACTCTTACAGGTAATGCTCTAAATTCGCGTTTCATTTTTTTTAATACTATGTATAAAATCCCATCCCATTCAGATTTCTTTGTAGCTCTGAAGTACGATTACGAAGACCGGTATCCTCGCGTTTGAAATACGAAGGACGCTCACTTAAATATATTAAAATCGAACTTTTTGTCGCACGTATTACGTAATTAAAAGTTATAAACCCTGTTAAAGTTGTATGAAGTTGTTTCTAGAAGCTTCGTCGTGCTGTAACACAGGGAGGGGGGCACGTTTTCGCGTTTAAAGCTAAATGCGACTTTAATTATGGGTTTAATTCGTTAAGTTGAAATGTAAACAGCGGGGCTCCCGATGCAAACATCAGATGACGCGCGTTACCACATTAAGCGTTAAACGCACCCAATAGGGAGCCGAATGTACAAAAGTCCGGGGGCAACTCACCTCGCAGTTGGAATGACTGATGTTACTTAGATTTAGCCTGAAGATCTTGTCCCTGAAAGCAGAAGAGGAAAGTTTCGTGTTAGCGTAACGGTCGAATTAAGCGTGGTCGCGATAGACGAAAGGGTCGAGGGGTAAATTTTCATTCCCAACGTCTGCGAGATGCATTACTCTCCGTGACTCGACCCTACCTTATCTCGCCACGGTTATGTATGGTTGTGTAGCGCCGCGGCACTTTGCTTACGGCGAGCGCTGGGCAAACGGCACGGAATTTCTATGAGGGTGGAAAAGGAGAGCGAAGAGTAAAGTGGGACGAGTTCCTCTCTGACCGAGTTCCGCGTTGTCTTTTCTTTGCGCGGCGCCCGAAGTCACGTCTTTCTCGTAGCGTTTGTTTTTATTAGGATTTTATTCCTCGGCGGAGATCGTCGTTCACGTTTCGAGACTGACGGGTAAGACATAATAAGGACCCGGGTCGACGAGTCGAAATAAACCGCGCGGATTACGCCGACGCGCCGTCAAAGTTCTCTCTCACGGAAGTTGATACGATACTGCCATTTAGAGTGATTTCGCTCCGGCCGTCGCGGCATTAATTTCGCATTCCGACGTATAGGAATGATATGTATTCCGATCAATATAACAGTGAGTCGCTATCAATGCGGGAAACCGCGACGATTTTCATATAAATCTCTTCCGCGACCACCGCGGCGGCAATCTGAGGCGGTGCGTTCGATCATACGTGAAAGGTATACGCGCTGCTGGGCGCCACCGATCGTAAATCGAATTTACCCAGTTTTCAAATGTGTGTGTTTCGCAACATTAACGCCGGCGCGCCGCATAACTTTATCCCAATAGCCATTCATCATCGCCTTTCAATAGAAATACGCAGTCAGACGGAATGCGCTCGCGGAACGTGAAAAAAGGAGAGAGGGGAGAGAGAGAAGATGGAAGGAAGACCTATCCCTCAGCGGCTCTCCTTTTTCATTCATTCTGTGCATCGCGCCGTGAAAAAGTAAATACCGATGTGGAAAAACAAATCCGTACTTTGGAATCTACCCGCGTCGAACTTTCGTCTCGGCGAACTTTTAGAGGGTTTAGCAGGTGGAAAGGAAACGCGCAGGGTAAGGGGGAGGGAAGGCGAGTATCGCGTCTACGTGCTGGCACGTCGCTCATGCTCGCCGAAAGAAAAAATTCGTAGGAAAGTAATTTGTGGGAGAAACTCGGCGTAAAGGGCGGGCTGCTGCGAAGTCATCGCTCAGTCGCTTTGAAATCCAATTGGTAAAACGTGCGTAATCAAACCGAGAAATTACTTCGCCGCTGAAAATCGCAGAGGAAAAATTTCATTAAGATCTCATTGACACGCTTCCACGAGAAGTGGAACATTTTCTAAAAATAAAGAAAGTGTTACTTGAGAATCGCGGAGGGGGGAGGGGGGGAGGGGAAAGAATTCGGTTCAATTTAACATTTTACATCGCCTTAAGGGCTTTCGAGGGAAAGTTTAATTAAAATCTCGAGCAGTTTGCCGAGGTCGTACAGCAATTTCTTAAACTATTAAAGACGCCTTGTAGACTCGCGGAAGAAATTTCAACAAATTTCATTGCTAATTATGCAAATAGGGACAAAGACTTAATTAAAGGGCGGATCTATATAGCGGATCCGCGAGACGCGTCCAAACAATGCCCGCGTATGACCGCACGGAATTGTCCGTGTTTCCCGTCCGAAATAGGTCGGCGGTTTGAGATAACAGCTGCACACACGCCGCTTTCACGTCTAGCGTAGGGTTTCACTTGCGTAATACGGACATTTTCACCGTGGGGCGAGAAGGAGCCTGACGAATGCCGGGCGAAATCCGAAAAGCATCGTTGTCTGAATTTGTGGTTGTGCGTGACGGACAGCTCTGACCCGGGATGCATTATCCAGCGCGTCGAGATCTCCACACGCCCCCCCCCCCCTCGCGCCGCTCCTCTCTCCTCGCTGCTCTACCGGGGAATACATGACAAGGGCCAAGGGAAGTGGCGTTTGCAACAGTGCTATTTACCCCGACGCCTTCGGGAAGGAGATGTATATCCGCGAGAAGAGATGGATTTAACATAATAGAACGGTTTTAATAATTCCCGGTATAAATCAACGAATGCGCGCACGTTACGTCCGCGTTTCAATAAACCGCGATGCGGCTCTGACGTTTTAATACGTCACTTTTCGTAAAATAATAGTGAAAATGAACGTGCGTGCGAGCGAGCGGTGAATAATGGCGCGAATACGGGGCGCGGATGGACCGTCGCGATTGAAATACGCGATTTAGCATGAATTAGATTTAACCTAATTCTTCTATACAATTTTATCAGCTGCAGCGGATAATCCGTTAAATCGATATACGACATCCGAAGTGCCAACATCGTCGAAAACGTCCGGGAAGGAGAGAGAGAGAGAGTGAGAGAGAGAGAGAGAGAGAAAAAGGTAGAGGAAAAGGGCTCAATTGCCCACGGTTGGCTCTGCAATGCCGCAAACCTCTGTGACCGTTTTCACCTCGCTAACACATTCGCGATCGTAACTCACTTCTCTCGCGCTATCTCGAGCTTTTCCCAGGTTGTTTCAGCGAGCATTACGAGGCGAAATCTCTCCATTGCGTTTTCCGGCAACGGTTATTGGGGACAATTAGGAGGGAAACCGATCGCGACTAGACGCGACGCGTTAATCTCCGATCGCGGTCGCTTCTCCCGGTCGAATTGTCGCGGCCGCGACCGGAGGTTTCTGGCGAGAAGAAGGGCAGGTGCGACCGAAGCGAGACGAAAATATGATCGACGAAATTTTTACCTCGTCCCGCTAGACGCGCGGCAGACGCGGACATGGATATAAGCGAGCCACGTATATATTTTTTTTTCGTTTTCGCTCTCGCCAGCGGCCTCTGGCTTGATAATTGGAAGCGTTCAATTAGCGTACCTTAATTGCGGAGCGAACCGCAACGCGGGTGCCGATTCTCAAACTACAATTAATGGCTATCACCTTTCTAATTAACGAGGAACGATGCTCGCGCGTGTATCGATCGTCGCGAACGATAACGGAGGAAAAACGGTACCGCGAAGAACGACGGCTACAGCGAGGCTGTGCGCGAGAGAAGAATCGCGATCGAGATCACGCGAGCGAAACGACGTATAAAAGATCGGGTGCTCTAAAACCATTCGAAAATTATACCCCCGCGATCATAAAGGTCTAAATATCTCTTATCGTTGAAGAAGGAATATCGAAACGATTTCCTTTCAAACTCTTATCGGAAATCTCTTCGATATTGTAGTTTCGTAGATAGATACGTATGTATATGCAAGACGACGCAAGCACGTGGAACGAAGCCAGGAAACGGGAAACGTAGAAGCCGAAGTAGCCGCTTTCCTTGGGAAATGCAATTTATCGTAACTGCGCTTTTCCTTTTGTCGCCCCATATGGCGAGCTCATCCCAACCAAAGATGAAAGAGAAGGAGAGTGAGGCAGAGTTATTCGAAAAGCGGAAGCTTTTATGCGATTGTGACGCTTTATTTTCCCGCCGTACAGAAATATGAGATTTATACCCTTTTTAATTTGATTTCTCTTTACGCTCAAATTAGTTGTTACCTTATTCCTGTTTGCATTATTCACAAAAGGATCGTACATTTTGCGCGCGCTGGTATCGATATTAATTATTTTACGATAAATATTTTGCGCGTACGTTCGTCCACCCGCGGAGAGATTGAACCGTAACCAATTTTGCTACCCGCGAGTTAAATCAACGTGAGAGTCTATCGAATAATTCACGAAGCGGCGAAGTCAATCGAGCGCGCGTCATCCCGTTGACGAAAACATACACGCGTGTTCGAATCGTAGGCGAACTTCGTAAGACGATCTCTGGTTCCGTCTCACAAAGGGATTAAACAACCGTCGTTCCCGTTGTCTGCCTCGGGATTTCTTCGTATCCGTGAGCACTGGCAGACCATCCCCCGCTGCGTCTCCATTATCAGGGCTTCGTAACATTTTGCTGGCATTTACTAAATTAAGGGGTGGGAGGGAACACAAAAGAGAAAGGAAAGCGGGGAGAACGTTAGCGGATGGTTGCCGAGGGTGGCGGCGACAGAAGCGGCTGGGACCGAATCAAGAAATAATACTCCACTGAGATAATGATGTCTCCCGCTCCCCCCCTCTTCGCTCGCAATCTGTACCGGGCCCGGGCGTAGGACCGACCCTTTCGCTCCCGTCGAGTCACCATCGAGAAAATAGTAACGCGATACTCGTGCGAACAGCAATCGATCGATCTAACGGATTTAACTACGCGGCTACCTAGGGAATGGCAGGGAACTTTTCGTGGAACTTTCAATTGTGGATTTTAATAAGCATGGAAACGAACTTGAGTGCCTACAAATGTAAGATTCGTCAGATTAAAGATGTGAAAAATAAGTTAGAAGTCAGAAATTTCGTTGTACAACGTGTCTTGTCATCAACGTTAGAAAACAGAATACTCGTCTGTTTAATCTGACGGATCTTACATTTGTAGGCACTCGTGTAAGTTTGTTACCTGAAGAGGACCGGTATTACTGGCCGAAACGCTGTGTTTTATTATAATAAGGAATTGCCAGTAAGGTCGTTTCCATACTTATTAAAATTCTTGATTTCTTGACTGGCGTCACTAAGCTGCTGTTTGATTGGTTCAATTACAGTTAGGATGCCCGAGAGAATCTGAATCGAGATGAGAATCAGGAAATATTAAAAGATAGATGAGAGATGATAGAGAAAACGTAGATGAGAGCCAAAATATTGGTCATTGTCCGCGATGCGCATTAAACTCGCAATATACAATTTCGAGCGCAATGTCTGAGGCTGTTACGTTTGAAGGATGAAATAGCAAATTCATTAATTCTGAACCACTGTTGACACGGCGTTTTTCATTTCCTCGGCAACCATAATTGCCGAGATCGTCAGTTTCGATTTGTATTATATGTTTGCATTTCTTGCCGTTTTCTTCCGCGGCTCAAAGGCTCCGAGTAAATTGCCTCTCTGTAAAGTGAAACATTTAGAGCGAGAGAGGATTCTGATCATCTCCCGTAAAGCGAGGCGGACAAGTAAATAAGTCCGCGGTTTTCGCGAACAATAACAACAAAAGTAGTAAACAGAAATATGCATACAATCGCGAAGTGAAACAGCTGAGTACCGCAGAAATGAAAATGCTCCCAACATTCCCCCCCCCCCCCCCCTCTCTCTCTCTCTCCGTCCTCCGTAAATATGCGAGCATTCCATATCTATGCGACGATAATTATTATCCCGAAAGCTGATATCTGTGTAACGGGTAATCCCTCAAAGTTCAGATTATCCGATTACTCGATGACATCGGAAAATTCAATCAAACGGCACGATTCCCACGCTTCGCGCACGTTGTAGAATTTTAATCACAGCAATCGTAAAAATCCGCAGCGTACATACATACACGGGGCACGTACACGCATACACGGGGAAGCGGCGCGCGCTGACGTAATACCTCTCTGTCCTCGGGCTTTGACGAGGGAACGTCGCAACTTTTCCCGGGGATTTTCATGGCGTGACATTTTATTACGGAGCCGGGAAAAAGTTCTACTTACATAGCTCCGACATATAGGGCGTCCCTCTTACTGTCCAGGTAGAGCGTCCTGTAGTACAGCATGCCGCAGCTGAATTCCCGCACGTGTTCTGAAAGCAAAAGTAAATAAGGGGATTAAATGCGACGTCGTAGCGCGGCGAAATTCATTTTCCGCGGCGCGGAAACGCGGCGGAGCCGCCGCGGCCGCGAGGACGCGGCCGCGCCGCGCCGCGCCGCGCCGCGCGTTCGGTGGATCGTTAGATTTTCATTACGACTTTTATAATAACGGCCGGATAGAGTAAGGCGCCGCCCTACCTCGCCTGCCGACCTCGCCGGTAATCCGGCTAAAGTCAACTCTGACTTATCTCTACCGTAAACTCGTCGGAATTACACGGCACGTAACGCGCGCTCGACATTTTCGTTCCATCGGCCAGCGCGGATCCGCTGAAATCCGCGCCGCGGAAACGTCGAAGATCAACTCGCGCGAGGAGCCGCATGTTAATATTAGCGAACGAAGCGCCCGCGGGAAAAACTTTCGCAATTGTCTTCGCTGTAAATGTGAGTTCTCGCGCTTTAGAACAAATTCTGGGGCAAAGAAAGTATTTAACTCCTCTCGGGTTTCGCCTCGTGAAAATTTAAGAAGCGTACAATTTCGTCCCCTTGCGACTTTAGTAAAAGGAAGAAAAAAAAAATAGCGAACCCGAGAGGAAGAATACGTCGCTGGCCGTCGGGGCAAACGCGATAACTGTCGAGCCGCTTAAGAATATCAGGTCAAATCGGTTGCCACTCGCGCGTTGACCTAAAGGGCGTAAAATTCACGCGCCAAGCCGTTGCCACGCCAACGAGGAAGAACGGTCGGCGCAACTCCGGCCTCTTCCTCTCCTTCTTTTTATCTCATCGACACTGATCTGCTTAACATATGAAAGAAAGCAGCCCCTTTCTAAATATACTCGTTCCACTACGGGCTAACAGAGCGCGAACAATACTATATTTTATACGGTATCGGGAGGGGCCGACGTGGAATGAAAGGGGTTCTTACTCTGGAACAGAGCTACTCTTCCCGCGTATCTATCCCTTGTTCCGTCTCCCCCGTCCGTCTTTGTCTTTTTCTCTGGCGTCTCTCCTTTCCCTGTATCTCCATGCGCCAAACCCTTCGTGTGTTCTCTCTCTCTCTCTCTCCTTCGCGAGTGCGCGAATGTGCAAGCGTGCGCGGGGGATGCAGGATCTTGCTTTATCTCCGCGAAACGACCGACGTTACGCCACGGTCCCTCTAATGTCGGACTTATTCAAAACCGATGCGCCACCCGTAGGTCGTTAGATCGGCCCAGATAGACCACGGCTAGACTGCGCTCCCTGAGGGATTTCGAAATTGATATTCACTCGCGAATACGGCCGCATTCGCGTCCTCCCCCTTTTTATCCGGATATTCGCGTGAACGCGCGCCCGTCTCCCTCAGCCACGTAGGCATATTCCACGCGGGAGTTATCGCGACTTTATCATCGTTACGAAGTTGTATCTACACACGGAAGACGACATCCGCACCTGCCGCGCGTTGTATCCGAGTTAATGTAACTGTTGCATCCTGACGGCCGCGGGCGCTTCTATTTCTGACGGCCGCGGATAAAATTGGCCGCGCCGCGACTCGCACGATTGTTAATGGGATAAACGTCGCCGCGCGACGCAAGTTCTATTTATGCAGAGCCCGGACTCGCCCTCTTTGGTACAACGTTATTTATTAAGCGCGCAGCGTAAAGGGAATACACGTTCTGAATTGTAGTAATAATGTGTCTCTCGTGTTGTACCCACTTTTGTACGTTCATTCAGCAAAACTATTCTCGCAAGATATACGCAGTCAAGCTAGTCGGCGCGTAATTTACACGGCCATTCTCACGGCACTCCGTTAAACGGTCGCAATTAGAGCCTTCCTACGGTTTTACAGTTTCTCCGTATCGCATAATTATTCGATAATTGTTACATTATTTTCGATTGCATCGCGCGCCAATATTTGCTTAATTAATTATATACGATACGTGTATAATATAAATAATTAATCGTTCAATATTGATGCGCCGGAGAAGCGCGTGACGCCGCCGCCGCCGCCGCCGCCGCTACCGTTGCCGAGTTCTCCGACAAATATTTACCATCGTGTAATTTACTGCCATTAAAAGACGTTCACGGCGCGTACGTGCGCAAACACATAGCCTACTTATCGTAAATTACTTGCAACGCACTCCCATAAGAACGTGCGCTGAACTTGGAGGGACGATACAATCGCTAATCGAGGTTGTTAACGGTGCGTGATAACGCCCTAACGACCCTAGTTGCGGAAACCATCCATTTGAATTCGGTGGTTCCGGCAACGGCCTAATACCTTTACAGTATTTCTTAATTAAGCACACCGAGAGGGTATCAGCGACCTAGAATCGTTACGAATCTTGCTATCACGGCCATTATATCTGATAAAAAAAAAGGAGGGACCGCAAAAACGGGGGATCGTGGGGGCAGAAACACCGTTGCTAAATATATAGACGCACGAGCGTAGGAATTGTTCTGTACTTGGTTGATTCGCGAGCCAAGTGGTTGGCCGGGGTACCTTTTCATTTTTTTTTCGCGCGCGCAACGTACACACGCAAAAGTTATACGCACGTGCGATTATCTTATGTAAATAAGAGCAGTTAAATAATGAGCCGTTTATCGGGCTATAAAGTTAGAAATTACTTTGAGGATAAGCATCGTTTTGGCTTCCATGCTCAGCTGAGATAAATTCGGAATGAATTTTTTCGCCGAGCTATCGTTGATACTGTTGATTTAAATCCTGCCAACTTTATGAGTTTCAATATGTAACGAGAGGACGATTCGCTCTTTAAATCCCTCGTTCGCGTCATGCCCCAATTCCCTGGTCTTGTGTACACGTTTTTGCATCTAAATGCATTTCCCTTCGGAAGCCTTTAATCGCTATTTGCAAAACATCCGGCTTCGGTCCAAGCAATAAATAATCCGACTTTCTGAAAAACTCATTTGATTTACCCCGCAATGTTATTTTATCACATATCTCATCAATACACGTTAATTTTCCTCCAACATGCGGCCAGAAAATAAATTCCACCGCGAATTTTATTCGTCCCCTTTTCCCTGTGTCCAAATAAGACAATATATTCCGATATATTTTGGCGTAAGAACCGAGATGCTAAATAATGCAAAAAGATTAAGCGCTCGTGAGTGTATCTCGTATTTTCGTATTTATCTTGCATAGTTTTCGCTAATCTGATTGTGTAAATAACTCTTCCGTAAATTTCGCAAATGGCGCATTCGACGGGTAGACGGGATTTATGTAAAGTTCGCAGACACAAAGAAGCAGACCGCATCGATGGCTGCAAATCGCGACAATAGAAATTATGAATCAATGAGCGTTGAATGGAATCGTCACAGAAAGGCAAATGAGGACGATGAAAGCCCGGGTAATCGTATGAGCAATCAGGGGATCTTTATTCTTACCGCGATAGCTCCCGAGATCGCTTCGCATCCACGCGAATCGATTTCAAGCCGATGTCATTCAAGTTTAATAAGCTCCAAACCGCGAGCACGAAGCGTACGTATATACGTGCTCCCGTGAGAAAAGTCAAACGCGACTGGATTACCGGGTCGCTGGGATACAAAATCGCGATATGATATTTTCGACAAGCACCCCAGGAGACGTGGTAAAATAAAAGCGGCGGTTATTTTTGAGAGATTTACACCGTAGATCTGGCCTGCCGCGCGCGATTTTCGCCGAGGTCGACGTTAATACGTGGCCGCCACACACGTTTTTCGTGTTCGCAGCTGATCTTTATGGCAGATTTATGCAACGCGCGCCTTATCGGCGGCCGGACGAATCCTGGAGCACGTGCAGAACCAATACGATCTCTCCCTATCACGTGCACGAAAGGAAATACGAAACCATAAAGAGAGCCCGGAGTTGCAATTGAATAAAGTGAGGCCGGCGGGGCCCAACACAGCCCGCACAATGGCAGATTAGGCGCGCGATCATTTTTTACATTCGTCTGGCTTCGTTCCAGCTGACACCGGCATATGGCCGCCAAAGATTACGAGGGTACCGCCGCCGCGGCCGTGTCCAATTTCCAACGTTATTATTATTTTAATCCCTTGAGCCCCGAGGCAAGGTGCCGCGCCGTACCCGCGGCGGATAGCGAAAATATTCTCCATCGCGGTAATTTCAATTGCAAAAGCGCCCTTTTTAGCTTCCTACGATCCATCCTCGCTGCGTGCCGCGGGTATCCACCGCGCTGACTTTGAAAAATGAGTTACATTCTGCGCGATGCCGCGGCGCGAGCGATCAAATAGATTTCACGTATAATATGCAAAGGGACGTATTACGTCAAGAACTTTTGTTTAAGACTAACAAATTACCCGGTAACAGTGAGTTATATTCCGACGCTCTTGCGACTCGCATCAACTTCCACCGGTGTGAGTTATGCGAGTCACTTTTTAAACAGATATAGCCTTCGAGAGAAAGGACAAACGTGCGCTTTTATTGGGCGCGGAGTACTTAGAGCTTCGGTTGCACCGGCGAACTAAATAAAACCTGTTTCCGATCGAAGGTACACGTGGCAACAAAATTCAGGACAAGGTAACACGATACAGGCGGAGGGGAAGAAGGAGAGAAATCTCGAATGTCTCTGGAGTCTCGATTCGCAATCGCTCCCCGGTCAAGGCACGATCATCGCGTGGGATCGAACCTGCTGACGCGTTTCGAGGACCTTTTATCCGGTGTGAAACGCGTCTTCTATCCTCCGTGTCTGTCGGTGGTTGGTTCAGAGGGGGGTCAAACTAGGCGTGTGTATGCGCACATACTCGACCACCTCGGCCGCGGCTCTTGACAGAATTGACATGTTTGGAACTCGTCTACTCCGCTTGCGGATTCGCCGGACCCCGACACGACAATACACTCTTCTCAAAACCGAAAGTCCCAGTGCGAGCGCCGCCGGGCATTGTGCAAACTTTCCAGGTTTCCCCGGAGTATCGATCATAGTATGCGTCCGATACCTGTCGTTCGTGTCGTTAATCGAATTTGCCGAAGAACAGTGGTGGATTTATAGTTGGAGGGGTCTGA